TGCAGACGTCCCAAGAGAACCGGACCGCCAACATCCAGGACGCGCTCGTCAACAAAAAAGCGTCGGCAAACCCGAGCTCCGGCTTACTCGGGTCTTGCGTTTCCCCAACTCCTGAGCCGAGGCTCCCACGACTTGCTGCCGAGCTAAGTGGCGCTCGCTGTCGGAGAGGCCCTCCCAGTGCGCGCTGTCCTGCGGGTGCGCCCCGCGGCGGGAGAGCGGCCCGCGGCCGGGCTGCCGGGGCAGAGGCGCCCCCACGGCCCCCCCTGGAGGCGCGTCCTGCGGGGGCCCGCCAGGCAGCCTCGAGCGCCTCTCTCTCGGGGTGCGGGCCGCCGAGCACCTCCTCCTCCTCCTGCTCCTGCTCCTGCTCCTGCTCCTGCTCCTGCTCCTGCTCCTGCTCCTGCTCCGCCTCCTCCTCCTCCTCCTCCTCCTCCTCCTCCTCGCCGCTCCCCGCTCTCCCCCCCCTCGCTGCTACCTCCCCCCGCCCCCCCGCCCTCCTGCTCGCGGCCGGCCCGCGCGCCCGGCTCCGCGCACCGCGCCCCGCGGCCTCTCCCGGCGCCCTCGCGCCGCCGCGTCGGAGAGGGGCACCGCTGCGACCCGGGCCGCGGGGGGCACGAGGCGCCCCCTCGGGCTGCCGGGGAGCCTCGTCCTCCTGCTCCTCCGCCTGCCTTCCCTTCTGTCACCCCTCGATCCTCTCGGTCCTCTCGGTCCTCTCGGTCCTCCTCTCCTTCTGTTCTGCCTTCCCCCTCTCGATCCTCTTCTGGTCCTCGGCCCTCAGGCCGTTCTGCCTTCTCCTCCTCTCGATCCTCGTCTGGCCCTCGGCCCTCAGGCCGTGTGCCGAGGGCCCAGGGAGCTCGAGACGGGAAAGCAGAAGCCCAACCAAGCGAGGCAGGAGGAGCAGGGAGGGCCTGCTGCCCCCCCCCCTGCCAGAGGAGTGCCGAGCAGGGACGCGCGAGGGGCCCGAGCCTCGAGAGAGCTGCCCAAGAGCTGTGCCACGCCCTGGCCTTACAAGGACGGAGGAGTGTCCCCCCTCTCCAGCGAGGGGCAGCGATAGGGGGGGATAGGGATAGGGGGGGGTCCTCGACCTGGGATCGGCGATACACCGTCAATGGATCGGCGATAGGCCTCTGATAATGAATCCGCACCTTCCTGGGCGGGGTGGGGCCATCGGGCCCCTATCGGCGATCAACGGGCGATCGGGGGTCGATGCATCCCCCCCTGTGCCTATCTCTCCCCCCTTATCGTTGCCCCACATCCAATCACCCGTTGATCAGCCGTACAAGGACCCCAAGCCCTTTGGGAGGGGGCCGAAGTTAGGGGGGCCGAACACACTAGGGATAGGGGATCTCTTCTGCAGAGGTATCGAGCCAAACTGCCCAGGCACATTATCCCGAATGCAGAGACGGGAATCTAATTGAGGCCACGCCTCTACTGTGTTCTTGGGGTCAGGAGCTCTTCCCTATCGATGGCCCGTGTGTCCTGCTCACTGAGCCTTCGCTGGTGTGGGGGTCTCGGAAAGCTGCGCGTGTCCGAGGCTTTGGTACTCCAGATTTCGTAATAAAAGGGAGGGGGTCTGGACCCTCCAAGACAAGCCATTTCAGACCCCACCCCGTGGGAGAACCCTCCAAAACATCGTCCCCAGACCCCCCCAGGCCCTCCAAGATAGCCTGGAAGAGACCCCCCCCCGAAATGAGACCCCCCTCCCTTTATTACGAAATCTGGAGTAGCTCTCTGCTCTGCACTGCTGCGGCAACACGAGTTCGCAGCATGAGCTCACGAGCATGCCCCAGGCTTAGAACAAAGAACAAGTCAGAGGAAGCTCAGCGGCAGAACATTTCTGCCCCCGCCCCCTCCGTCCTTCATCCTCCTCCTACTCCTGTGCACATGGGAAGACGGCGAGAGGGTAACACCATCTTATCTCACCAATGTCAACGGATGGGCTATACTTCGTAGCCGCCAGCTGCTGAAGGACGTCTTCAGCCTGCCGACCCCGGAAGGCCCACCGCGGGTTTAGGCGCCAGGGGCGGCGCCGAAGGCGCCGTCAGGGGGGCGCAGCGCCGAGCCAAGAAATCCATGCGGAGCTCCAAGAACAACTGGGTTGAAGCCATTTCTTTGCCCTCGACTGCTCATGTTTTTGGTGTAGGCGCCCACTCGCCTCCTGCGGGTCCACAAGCGATGAGACATGTTGCTACAAGAAAGCTTGGGACATGTTTGTCGTCGATCGTTGAGCGTCCCAAGGTCCGAAAAGGCACCCCAGAGACTCTTTGTCCCCTCAAGGCCACCGTGGGCTAAGACACCTCCGTGGGGCACCTGCTGACAGGCCGACTCTTACTTGATGTGCTTATCATCGAGAGAAACACGATACACAATCTGGGAACATCTCCCAGGGTTTAGGTGCCCACTTGCCTATACCAAAACGCAAGGCCTTTTGGATCCGTTTTATGATATACGCGATAATGCCCGTGAACAACCCCGCTCCCCCCCCCCGATGGTCACGTCACGATTCGCGCCGGCACCGTGTGGGAATTAGCGATTCCTACGGGTTACCAAGCGGCGGCGGCGCGAATCGCGATGTGACCCGCCCCCTCCCCTTCTCCCCGCCCGTGTCACGCCCGTCATCGCCAGGGAATAAGGAAAACGGTCTCTTGACTCCTCCTACTCCTGCCTGCCCTGCTCCTGCTCCTCCGCTCAAAGACCCCCCGGGCGAGACAGAGCACCCACCACCACCGACGCCCAGACCCCAAAATGGACAGACCCGAGTCTCGGGTCCTGATGCGGACTCAATCACTGCAGTGATCGCGGTGACCTGCAACAGTTGCAAGCTGGTTAGAAGCCACTTGCAATGCACTTGCACGTGGGCTGCAACCGCGTTGCAGCGGTAGCAACTCTGGCAATTCGAACCAACAACTAACTACAAAACTCACTCACCTACAAACCATTCGCCGTCCAGCGCGTGGGCAGGATGACAAGCACAAGCAATCGCAAACCGTAAAGTGTGAGACTCTGCGCCGTCTGATCAGTGCTGGAAAGTGTGGGCACCAGCCTCGAAAGGCTCCGCCGCGGCGCCACTGTTTCATGAAGCTCTGCGCTCGGATTTCTGGGTGGGGTGAACAGAGACCAGACCTTCACCGCATCGACGAAAGCAACGCGGATGATGTTTCGTTGCTCTCGGCATCTGGGTGCCATCGCCCGCCGCCGAGACCGTCACAACTCAAGGAATTGACTGTCTGGGGGTAGTAATGCCGCTCCTCCCCAGACCCCGTCGGGGCTGCGCTCTTGCGTTGCGACGGGGGCCGTTGCGACGGGGGCCCATCTGCGAGGGGGGCCCATCTGCGTATCTCTCCGTTGCGACGGGGGCCCATCTGGGAGGCAGAGCAGATGGCGTGGGCGAGGGAAACGTGGCAGCAAAATCGGCGTTCCCCGCTCCATACTCGATAGTCCCAGGGGCCCGAAAACGGCCCCCAAAAGCAACAATCCGTGATAAGCGGAAAGGTCCCTGACATCCTCCGGTGTTTTAATCCGCGGCCTCAGAGGTCCTGACCTTTTCCTCGGGGGTAGTTTTGCGCCTTGGATCCGTTTTTGATGGTCCTGGGGCGTTGCAACGGGCCCTGGGGACCAATTGTGACGAACTTCGCCCGGATTGAACAAATCAGATCGTCGTATACAGTAGGTGCCCGACCGCGAGAAACCTCCCACAAGAAACCCAACCCTGAGGCCCCAGGATGCCCACTGATGTTTGGTGTGGGCACGTCACGACTTCCAGAGCAAAACCATCGAAACCCAAAAACCAGGGCGCCCTGGAGGCACGCAGGGCGTTTCTTCTGGAGGGTGAAAGAAGGGTCTGCAGCAGGGGTCTGCAATTGGGGCTTAATTGCCCATGTATGCTCAAAATATCCCTTAGTATGTGATCGGGTATGATTGGCATACAATGTTGGCGGTCTTGGAGGTCCAGTCGTTCGTGCCCGCGCGTTGCCCGCGCGGGCGAACGCGCCGTCCATCCATTATCGTTCATGCGTGCGGGCATCCTTGCATATCGCGCGCGGGGCGGCGAAGTGGAGTGCAAGTGTGTCTTGATTGTGCGAATGATGATTGCGTATGTCTTGAGTGTGCGACCCGAAAGACAGATCTGAAATTGGTCCCGCGATTCTCCTAACATGTGAATTCACATTGTCTTTTTTTTCCCAAAATGTGACTTCACATCCTGGCCCCTATCATGAAGACCCCTATACAAAATTCCAAGATGTGAATTCACATGTTGCTTTCCCACAGTGTGAATTCACATTTTGCCCTGGCCCTCAAGATCCCCCAAACTGAGGCGCAGTGTTCCGTATGTCAGATTGGTTGGGCAGATGTTGACATTCGCCCCGCCGCTTTTATTCCAACCTTCTCTTCTGGCGCCCTCAGCGCACGTTGCCTTCGTCGCCTTTCCTCCCCAGCCCCCCCGACTCCTTGCTTCGTTTACCCTCAAGTCTCGCGCAGGGGTGCAGGCGGGGAGCTGAAAATTGGTTCCCGCTCCGAACACAGCAATCAAGGATGTATCGCGCCCATGCGGGGCCCATAGAGACATCATTGCCGGAACCCTGCGCCCGACCCCCACATTCACCCTCCAATTCTTGGCATGGGTCTCCACGATATATGGGACCGAACAAATCCGACCGTCCCAGGACCGGGTCATTCTCCCTGCTCCGAGCGCTGGCCTGAGACTTGGTGGCGGCGTGGGCGGGGCTGGCCGCAAGCTTCCGATCGCCCGGCGCCGCCGGCCGCAAACGCCGCCGCCCAGCGCTCTTGACGCCACCCCCTCGCGCCGCGAGAAAAAACACGACGGGAGGTTTTTCAATATTCTCAGCCTCCCGGGGCCCTTCCCGGCCTCGGGACCGTCAAAACACGACTCAGGATGAACAACTGCTCCCCGGGAAGGGGTCCAGACTTCTGAGGGGCACGTCGCGAAAAACCGTCGAGACAAAATCACGACGTCGGGGGTCTGGGTCTGGGCGCGCGGGTCTCCTGCGAGAGGTCCACCTCCTCCGCGGTCCAGAAGGACGCCTGCGGGGTGGACGGTGCTGCAAAGACCAGTGCGACCTGCTACAACGGCCCGCTTGCAGGGCACCTGCAAGCGGACTGCAAGTCCACCTTGTTGCTTCGAGCAGGGTGCGCGACCTACTCGGACTCAAGTCAGAGCAGCTAGGCGGACTTGCAAGCCACTTGCAGGCGCCTTGAACGTGGGTTGCCACCACTTTGCACCTCATGCAACGATTGCAGATCGAACAGGCTTCTACAGTAGGGGGGAAGGGGCTCGGAGGGAGAGGAGGGGAGGAGGACTGCCACTTGGCTCTTGCTCGAGGACTGCGTTCTTTCTCGCTCGAGGACTGCTTGCCGCTTGGCTCGAGCTCGGCGCCTGTAGGCTGGGCGCGCGCACAGCCACCGTGCTACCAAACGGATTGTGGAGTAAGGAACGAATTTGCTCTTTGTGGCCGCGTCTAGCCTCGGCCACGAAGAGGTAACCCTACCCAAATGTCAGGAGTGGCCGTGCGGGAGGAGGACGGAGGGGAGGATGTGGAGGGGTTTATCTTGCGGTAGTGCGCAGAAGCAATCAGTAGGAAAAGATGAAGAGCGCGGCGCCGAGAGTAATGACAAACGCGCATTGACATGTCTGACACGCCCGCCTCAGAACAGTAACGCGTCACCTACTTTGGCGCACCGCGCTCCGCAATGCGCGACATGTGATTATCTTGGCGCTCTCGCAGCCCCCCAGGGAACCGGGAGATCTTGGCTGGGCGTGGGTACTCGATGGAAATAGCTGTTTCGCGTCTTGGCCAATGGGATCGCGCACAGGCGCCGCGAGGTCTCGGCGTGGTGCGAGTCTCGGCCGAGGGGGTCTCGGCTGGTGCGCCTCCTCCTGCTCCTGGTTCTGCTCCTCCTCCTCCTCCTCCTCCTCCTCCTCCTCCTCCTCCTCCGCCTCCTCCTCCTCCTCCTCGCTCCCCCCTCCGTCCTGGTACCTCTGCTCCTGCAAAACCCCGAGGAGGGTTCTGCACAGGAGCCTGGTAACAATGATGATGATAGGTCACCGTTATACTCCCGCACGGCGAAGCAAGTCTCGGTAGCTTCAGCCGTTAAACACTTGAGCCAAAGGCAACAGGGTTACTATTCCTCCCCAGTCACCTGAACGCTTGCATGTTAACACCCCCCCTCGGACGCCAGTCCGTACTGGCTGACGTAGGAGGAGTCGGCTTGCGGGGGGGGTCGGGCGCGCGGGAGGCGGGCGGAGGCGCGGCCGGCGCCCAGCGCCCCCGGGGGGCTCCATGTTGGATTTCCCAGGCTGCGCCAAGCGCGCGCACGCGTTACCTGCCCGCGCGCTCACATTCGCGCAAACGCATCCTAAGAAACTACGATTTGGATCGGAAGCGGGCGACAACGGGCATGGGGCGCCTGTCAAGGCTGCTTCTGGGAGCGATTGCTGCTGGCTCGGCACGCGCGATATGCATGTAACGACTTTTGGAAGACGGACGCTGCGCCGCCCAATCCAACGCGGCAATGGCGCGGTCCGGGGCGCGCGGCCGTCGCGGCGCACGGCGGTCGACGTGGCCGCATGGGGCGCGCGATCGGCCGCGCGGTATTTGCGGGCCATTCGGCCGACGCTGCCGGGTCGCCCTCAAACAGCCCGCCAGGAATACGCAAATGCGCAATGCGCCAGCGCGCCGTCAAGATATCGCCCTGGAAACAACCTGTTCACTCTGAACGCCGACTGCGCGCCTCGCTGAACCAGCGAAGTCGCGCGGCGCGCCCGCGCCGCGGACCCGCCGCGATGAACTCGCGGGAAAAAGGCCTCTCCCCATGGGTTCTGGCACCGATTCTGGCCTACTTCCCCGTTCTGGCCGATTCTGGTTCCATCGCCGATTCCTCCGTTGATTCCGTATTGATTCCGTACTGATTCTTTTGATTCCGCTAGAATCAGGGGTCGCAGTTGTGCCGATTCTGTTTTGATTCTGTACTGATTCCGTACTGATTCCTTTGATTCCCCTGTGCCCCGGGGGCCATCAGGCCGCGGCCCGAGCCACCGCCTCGGCGGCATGGTTTTTCCGCGAGCGCGGGAGAGTTGTGAGGGGGGGGGGGGCAGGGGGGGAGGCGGAGCGATTTTTGGGGCGCATCGGGCGGCCGAGCCACAGATTTCCGGGCCCAGTGCGCACGCCCAACATGGCAGGCGCGGGCGCGCGCGCGAGTTCTCGACCGTCGGCGCATCTGTAAGTTCATAACCCGTCCCGCGCGCGGGAATGGAAACTTGCGTTGCGGTTTCCAATTGAACGCGCGGCCGTCGCAACTGCATCGCATTGCTCAGCGCGCAAAGCGCGCGCAGCATGGGGGGCTTTGCGTTCTCGCATTAGAAGTGCGCGGAACCGAACCGAACGGTCGGCGGCGCCCGCTCCTGCGCCGCGCGCGAGGCCATCGCGTCAGCGCGGGGGGCTACAAGGGCATGGGCCGTCGCCCTGGGGCGCGGGCACAGCGCGAGGCCCGCGCGGGTCTCTCGCGCCAAACCTGCGCAACAAGGCCGGCCGCCCGCCGGCTGGCGCTCGCGGGCGACGCGACGCCGGCGCCGACTGCGAGGCCGACTGGGCCCGGGGGATTCCTGAGAGCCCCGGGAAGGGGCAGCGGGCCGCGATGGAATCGGCGCGGTCGTTGGCGCCCCCCCCGCGCCCGCCCCCCCCTGCAAGCCGACTCCTCCTAGGCTGACGGGGAGGTGTCTTCAAACGCAAAGACAGGTTAAACCAAGCAACATGCTGCACACAAATTGTTATAATGCCGAATTCGAAAGATCTCGTGACAACGTTTACGAGCATCACGTTTCTCAGACATGCAACATGAGCTCAAGTAAACGTTCTTGCGGTCACAAGTTCAAACGTAGCATCCAAAGTTTACACGGCAGGCTAGCATTTATATGATTTTGATTGCTTTCGCTTTTTATTCGCCAATACCTGCGGTAACTACAAAAGATGCACATGCACACAGATTCAGCTCAACAAGCCACTGCAACACGATTGTTAAGCCGAGTTAAGAGGGGAGATGAGGGAGAGCGTAAAAGAACAGCATGTCGGTCACCGGTCACCGTTTACGAGCGGCGCGGGCGCCTCACTGACGGGGTGCGTGCGCCCCTGGACCTCGGTAGCCCACGATGCCCCACACTGGCCGCTGTGTAGGACGACGCCCTGTTAAGGGCCTGCATCGGGCTGTAATAATCGGTGTCCAGGTACGCGTTAATCCGCTCCTCGTGATCGAGCCAGCACCCCTCGTCAAAGCTCTTGATGGACCCGTCAACAATGTTGTGGTAGGTGCCGATGGCCCTCCAGTATTTGGCGTGGGGAGCCTTCAACAGAGGTCTACCACCTGGATTGTTACGGAGGTGCTCCTCCACCGCAGCGCCGGTAAACGGGTTCACAGTCCAGGTCGGATCGGTAAGCCAGTTGGGGAAGTCGTCGCACGGTAACCATCCAAACCAGCAGAGCTTCTCACGATGGTCGCTTTTACGCTCGGTGATACGATCAGCAGGCCAACTGTCACGGTAAAGTGCCCTCATGGACCCCTGATCGTTAAGAGCGACATCTAAGATGGTCTGGCGCCAGTAGACTGGAGGCCTGTTGATGCTGCCCTTTAACTCCTCGGCGCTCCTGACCTCGAGGTCCTCGATGAAGTAGTTGCGGCAATGCACCTGGAGCCCGCTCGTGTAACGGCAATAGAGCTTGGCAAGGTCAGGCGTCGCAAACCGAATTACGGCAACTCCAGTCGAGATGTAGCCGTGCGGCCCATAAGTGTCTTCCACCAGATGCTTAACGGAGACCACGGTGGGGTTGCCGTGGGGCAGCATCCCTGCCCACGTTAAGAGAAGGCCGTTAAGCTGCTTCTCGTTCATCTCCGGCACCTTGTTGACGTACACCTGCGTGTCCGGGCAACTGTGGACGTCAAACCACGATGAGTGAAGATCGTCAACGTGGAGTGGTAGCACGTATTCGTCGTCAAACAAGGACTGTACGTGCCCAACTGCGTCAACCCACTCGTCGTGCTTGGCCAACTCTTTCTCCGTCAACTGAGATCTCCAGCTGCTCGGGCCCTTCAACACGGAGTAGCCGATGAAACCGTAAGCGTGTTGGCCGTAGATGTCAACGAACACTTCATCGTAGTCGTTAAGCTCCCGCCCCGTGTTGCCCTGAATGACCGACCGCCAGGGGTCGTTAACCCCGCCTTCGCCACATGCCCGACGAAGTTGCCCTCAAACCTGCGCCAGTTGTCGCGCGTCTTCATCGTTAATGCGACTACTTCCCTGGGGTCAGGTTCCGCCTTGTAGTTGACGTCGTGGTCCTCGCTCCTGTCGTTCACCATGGGCATGTGGCCGTTGACGTGGTACAGTGGGCGGTACACGGCCCTGGCAATGTTCCGAGAGTATGCCGCAAGCTGGTCGCTCGCGCGGTTAACAGCTTGAGGCTGCGGTGGCGGAATGCGCTGGACCGATAACTTCTTGGGCCGGAGGCGGGGGCTTCATGCCGCTAACGCTGCTCGATGCACTTGACTCGCCAAGGCCCGGGGGAGGCGGCTTGGGCGCCCTCACGTTCACAACAGGGGCAGGACCTTTTGGTGCTTCGTCACGTTGACTGCTCTGCGCACGATCTTCATCCATCTTCATGCCGATCTGCAGTAACTCTTCCAATGCCCGTTTACGCTCATGCATGGCCTTGGGTGCTTTCTTGTAAACAGGTTGCGGCACCGTTGACTGAGGGATCTTATTCGGCGACATGGACCGACCGAACCCTCCGGTCTTGGGCGCGGCGCCGGTAAGGTCCTGAGCCGGGGGCGCGCCCGAGGCCACGGACTCGGCCGCCGCGGTGACGGCAACGGGCGGCGCCTTGGCGATTGCCGCCGTTGGGGGCAGCTCAGGTAACGGCGGAGGCACCTGCGGGATGATGGTAACCGAGGAACTGATCGGGTCATTCAAGAACCTCTGTAAACCTTCAGGTCTCTCGGTAACTCCCACCAACATGCGTAGTGCCGCATCCCGTTTG